TCGCAAATCCCCAAATGTGGAGTACAATCTTCTTTCGACTAAATAAATCATAACGAGTGAGAATTATAATCAACGAATTTACCGATATTTTTAACAACCGGTTTCGACACAAGGCAATCCTCGAATATAGAGTTACAATTATTTAATTTCTATCGAATTAGATACCCGATTCTTTCGACTAAGAATCATAAACTCGAAGTCTTTACGATCGATCAGAAATTAAATCAAGAAGAAATTGACGCGAGGCAGTTTCGATCAACGAGTCGGAATTATAATCAACTTACCGACATTTTTAACAACGGGTACAGGCACAGGTTTGGTAATCTCCACGTGCTGGCTGACGGGTATTGCCGGCGCGTAATGATGCTGGACGTGTCCCTCGTACAACCCGTGACCGATCCCACCACCACCACCGCCCCCATACGAGCCGTAACCGGACAACCCGTGCCCGACCAATTCCACCCCGTGCCCCGTTCCGTAGTCGCTACCCGATATCCTGTTGATTGAAAATCGAAAATGTAGAATGAATGCTCTCGACTCGAGCAACCGAACGACCTCTTACCCCTGCCAACCTCCGGAATTACTCTCAATGCTGCCTACCACGGATCGCGATGCGAGCAGAACCGCGACCAATACCTGGAATAATTTATTCAATTATTTCGCGAAAGGAGTCGCCATCGAGGTTAAACAAAAGGCGTTTTCTTTATCGAACGAGGGTAGGACGGAGACGAGAGATAGAGAGAGAAATTCGAAATTTCAATCAATCAGCTGCCACTTTCTAAACTCGGTCAACTGATACCTCGCACTATATGGTCCACGCACGATCTCGTTAACTTCGAGTACAAAAGCGAGTATGGAAGCCGCACGATGAATCGCAAATAAAATACTGCCGCAAATAAATGGAGACCGAGGGAAATGGAGGGAAGGGTATTCGTAGTTACTGCTGCTTCGACGGTCACTCTTTTCCACCGTATCGTTCGTGGCTGAATTCGAAAGATGCGCCAAACATTCACGATTCCCTCCCTCTCTCTCTCTCTCTCTCAGGATCCTCATACGCGATGTAATATCCATATTATTACGATGTTATCCCTTCCTCGATTTACTTACAGGGGAGCAAGGAAGCATGTTTTCGAAATGAAACAGTGGGTGTAGAAACGTATGTACGGATACTGCGAGAGCTCGTCCATGGACCGATCCTTTTTATACGCTTTCTCCCTACCCGGGAGGCGCGGATGATCTCTCTCCTTGGAAACCGGACTTGCATGCTCGTATATACTAAGAAACGTAAGAAACGTTTACGAGTCCGTATCGATATGGGTCGAAACTCGAAACGCGCTCCTTAGGCAACAAATACGTTACTTTACTTTCCGTGTCACGGGATTCGAAACCGCGACCGACCCGCAAGGAAATCGCAAGTTACGATCGATCGTTGTAACGCGCACACGGAGTTTCATTCAGTTTCTTTCCAAGCTTTCCAAGCTGCTCCTAACTAACGTAATTTCGTTTTTTTCTTTTTTTTTTTCTTTTTTCGTAGCAAGAAACGATCTATACTATTTTCACTTTCCCTTGAATCAATATGTTATGACCAGGCGCAGGCAGAGGAGGAATTCCGTTGAAATGTATCGTCTGGTTTTCTAACGAACGCCCATGCGAATGCCAATCCTGATCCTGAATCCGCTCGTTCGGATCGATTTCTTTTCCTATTCGTAGATCTCCTCTCTTCCGTTTTCCCTTATTTGGCAAATGAAATTCTCTCGCTCTCTCTCTCTCTCTCTCTCTCTCGCATGGGAGCAACACGTGTCGAGCTGTGAACGGAATGAAAAACAAGAGGGTACGGAAATATCGCGCTATATATATATATATTTTTTCAATGTCATTTTTCTCTTTGTGGAAAAACGATAAAGCCTTAACGACTCCTTAACTTTTTGAAACGATAATACAATAGAAGATGGGACGCTTTCGTGACACCGATTATTAAAAAATTCGAGTTACGGCTCGAGTTTCACCGGTGGCGATCTTATGCCAAATAAAAAAAAAAGAAAGGAAAGCAGAATTAAAACTAGGCGAGGTAAAAGATATAAAAAAGCGAGTAAATTCCTCCTCCCTCCTCCCCAAAAAAAAGCTGAATCGATGAAAGCATCGATCAGTTGAAAAAAGAAGCGCCTCGTTATATAGTAGTCGTGTTTATACCGACAGTTATTCCAATTTCTTTTTTTTTTCTTTTTTGATGAAGCACGATAATTTTACAAGCTTAGTTATTATTATTCAGCACGCTCTCGTCGTCCGTTCCACGAATCTTTACTCGACGAGAACGAAAAATTTCTAATATTATCGATACAAGACCATATTATTAATCCATAAAATTTTAAGTTCCCTCTTTTTATTTCGACTCGAAACTAGTAAGAAAACAAGTTCTTTTTATTCGAAGATGTAAACTCGTTACATTACTCGTTTTACGTTCCAAACGCATGGCAAAGCGCAAAAATCCTTCGAAATGATTACGCGAAATGAATGGACGTCTCTCTCTCTCTCTCTCTGCGGTGACGCAGAGAATGAAGGTCCATTATCCGGATGAACGGTCAACGAGCAAATACGTATAAGACGCCCAAAGCCGGGAAAGAGTGACTTTGATCGAACGTTACTTTCTTCCCACGTAATTACTCGTGGAAGGCTGGAAGCGTCGTGGAGCGGTGAGAGAGGCGTGTTACGGGGGATATTGGAGAAAGAGAGGCGGGTGAAAGGAAATTTCCGATACCGTTCGTAGATTGGACGACGGGCGGTGACTTTGAGGGGAAAAAAAAATCGGATCGTTGTTCTCGATCGTGTGTCGGCTCGATCCGCGCGCCTCGACCGACGCACACCGACGTCGCATTCTTTGGTCAAAGAACGAATCACCCCGCTTCCCGTCACTTTCACTCCCATTTCCGCGCGACAAACCCGATTGTCGATACCATTGTCTCACGCCAGGAGGAAATCTCGACTCGATGAACTCGAAACTCGGCCTCTCTCACCTCTGGCCCCCGCCGTTTGACCGCAACCTCTGAAAGGAAAGGAAGATCGCTGACCGATCTAATTCGCCGATCTCGCAAGTGTGTCACGATCGAACGTCGTTGAGTAATCTCTCGAGGAAACGAAATTCGAGGAAGGGTTTGAATAAGGTTAAACGGGTCGAACGGGTAATGGCTACGAACAATGGTCGGTGCACAGATTTTTTTACGATTTTTCTCTATAGTTTGGCGGTGGATGATTAAATCAATCGATCGATTTTCTTTTATGTTATAACGAAATGTTTATTTTGCAACAAGTGTAAAAAAAGATTCCAAGAACGAACCATCACCGTTAACGTAACGAGGGAGTATCGAGGTGGTGTCTTATTGAAAGAAGAAAATTGGAGGAAAAAACAAAAAAGGGGGAGAGAGAATTTATCGACCCCAAGAGTGATGCGATGATTTTTGCAACGCCGCGAGTTGCACTGCATTCGCAACGGCGTTCTCCTTGGCCGCTATTATATCTTTCTCCTGCAAATAAAAAAGTTCTCGGTCGGCCTTTTGTCCACTCCAAAACTCAACGCGATTGTGAATATGTATATCGTACCTTCGCTTCTTGCTCGCTTCGGCTAATCTGCTTGTCGACATCCTGTTTTTGCAACTCGGCAGCCGTTGCAGCGGCGTTCCTCTGAATGGCGGCAGCTGCAGCCGCTTCCCTCGCGGCGGCCACTCGTTGGGCAGCTGCGACCGCATCTTTCAACGACGCCAATCTTTGTTGCAGGGCGACCAATTGTTTTGCGCTCGCTCTTGCCTCGGCCTCGGCAGCTGACGAAATTTCTTCCGACCTATAGAAACGACAATGGATTTTCAATTTCCTTGATATTTCGTTTCGAGTGGTCTCGGATCCTAGTTCGGTCCAACTCTCGAGAGATGGCGCTTCGGTACCGTTATTCGGGATACACCGCGTATATCATATATTGCTTAACGTATCGATAACGTTTCTTCTTTTCATTTAAACTAAAAAAAAAAGTATTATTTCTCGTTTCCAAATAAAGATTAAAAATTGAGGATCGAATACCTTGCCGCAGCCTCCCTCGCAGCAGCTTCTTTAGCAAGAGCGAGTTTCTGCTGAATAATAGTAGTCTGTTTTGCCTCTGCCACCTTTTGTTGCGCCCAATTTACGTTCCGATTTGCCTCCTTCGCCTGTTGAATAGCTCTCAATACATCTGGAGGATAGGCGACACTAGGGGTCCCGTCAACCGGATCCTTCAACGCCTGGATTCGACCGAGAGGAATTAAGAAAAGAACACGCTTCGATCGTTGATCCTTACCTGGATAGCGACGTCGTGTGTGGCTTGGACCTGAACTTGCGTCAAAGGTATGTCCGGTATCCCTGAAGGGTTCCAGGGAGCGGATCCAAACCCGGTGGGCGACCATGACCCGGTGGAGAAGATTGGCGCTACCCCAAAAAAGTCGTAGCCAGATGGCCCCACTACAGCCACGCTTCTTTTCCCCCTTTTCGATATCAATTTTGGCCTCGCGATACTGGCCAAAGCCAACACAAGGACGATCTGAAAGAAAGTTTTTTTCTTCAATTATCACCAAAGAAAGGATTTTTATTTTTGAGAAACTGAGACCGATTACCTTGTAGGTGATCTTCATATTGGAAGAATCGCGTGGAATCGTGTTATCGATGATACTGAATTGTCCGGCTCGAGGATTCAGTATATATAGGGATTCTCGTTTGTGAGTGAACGCTCGAACGATCGATTCGAACGTAACGGGAAGATTAATTAAGGCTATTAAGAGTGAATGTAAAAATAGGAGTATCGCGACAAAGTTATATTTATTGACTAATGACAATAGCTTCGTGGTACAATTACGCGGCACGGAAGACTGTTACTGTTGAACGAGAAACTCGTAGAAATTTAATTAATCTCGAATACTTCCGGCCGGCCATATTCTTAAATCGAATATCGTTCGACGGATTATCGAAATTTCTTCGAATTGAAAAGGTATTCGCTTCACTGTGGAAATGCAAATGATCGAATGAAGATGAAATCGTTTATATTGTTATAACAGTAGATTTATGCGATATAGAAACAAACATAACGATATAATAAATAACATAACAAAATTGGAACAGTTATAATTGTAATAAGTATTAACGTACATCTTGATGAATCGTAGATTTATTAAAATACCGTGCGTCTTCCGATTATTTTATATCCAAAACCTCCTTCGTATATATTCGTTTCAGGTACTGAGCTATACCCTTCGGCATCTCGTGAATCTTTGTAATACCTGAAATTCCTTTGACTTCCTTCGCCCGAAGGATCTTCGACCTCGTAGATATTCCTCTCTCCTTTCGACGACCCGTATTTCACTTCTTGAATTTTACGATTTATTCACGTTACAAACCAATAACTAACTTGGATAAAAAGGAAGACGCTTACTTTGTTTCGGTAATTTCGCTTTATGCGACCCCTCCTCGTCGAATTCCTCGTCGAAATTTTTAGCCGCATTCTCATCGTCCGACGTTCCCTCGGTCTTCCGTCTCTCATACGACTTGTCCACGTCATCGTATCCACCTTCTTCCTCCTCTTGCCGATCGTGGAAAGCTTTCGAGGAGGAGGCCTCCGACCGATACTTGGTCGAAGGCTCATCGTCATCATCGCTCGAATAATTACGATTCCTCGGAACCGACTTCTCATCCTTATCACGATTCGAATATCTGCCAAACTTCTCGTCGTATTGCTTGAATGGAAACGACGTGGAAGGCTTAAAATCGCCTTCCACCGACGGCGCCTTGAAACTCTTAGGCTCGTAATCGTCGTTGTCATCCTGTGAACTTGCCTCGTGCTGTCTCTCGGGAGGAGCGTAGCCTGAAACGAAATCAATTTTCTCGTCTCGTCGAAATTTTCTGAAGATCGATTAATAAATCGATCAACGAACCTTCGTCGTCATCGGTCTCGTCGCCGCCATCGTCATCGCCGCTAGGCGGAGGTGCAGGTTTCTTTTTGTCGATTATCTCCACGTCCGATCGAATTTCCTCGGATGGGCTGGGAGGGCGGCCCGAGTTGTCAACAGGTTGGACGTTTCCGTGGCCAAATTGGAATTGTTGCTGTGGCTGGAGGGGTTGATAAGCCGTGGTTGAAAACCCGCCCACGGTCGGATAAACCTCGATCGCCGCGCCTTTGTAGCGCGGAAACGGCGCGTTGTTGGCCAGCGTGGAAATAGGGACCACTTGGCCTTGGAAACTGGAAAGCGGCGACAGAAAATGCGAGCCCAATTGTTGAACCTTGCCCGTTCCCGCTCCGAAATCGAACCGATTCTCTTCCATTGTTGGCTTCAAAACGAGCTGGTTCTGAAAATTCGATAAGTACGAGGGAAACTGTTTTTGCTCTTGGAGAACCGGAAACGATGCTTTCCCGTTTGGAGGGAAAACTGGCGCGTACGTCTCGCCGCCTTTTGGTGGATAGTTAGTCTTGTACACTGGAATTTGTAGCTTCGTACCTGTGAAAGGAGAAGGGATTAATCACGAAGAATCGACTCTTGGTTCAGATTAAATACGATGATTAAATACGACGAGGTCAAACATGAAAATATCTTCCATACGGGAAAGCTTTAAAGCAAATTTAATTTATCGTTAATTGGAAACTTTACCTGCAGCCACGTTCTGGTTGTATATCTTTGCTTGGTTTACCGGTTTGCCAAAATTGTCGTTTGCAATTTTGTAGCCGGCGGATATGGTAAATAAATTATCGGAATATGGGAGGAATGGCACGTTCCGAGTCTCGAACGGTGGAATAATATACGGTGATGATTGTTTAAATATATCACCGTACATTGGCGGAACATCGGTAGCACCAATTGGAGGAGGCTCCTTTACAATTTTGACATTTTTGTAGCTCGACGAGGATCTTGGACTACTTTTCTCCATTGATCGAGGTTTGTCGTCTCGAGAATCATCGTCACTCGTTTCGACGACCCCTCTTCTCGGTCTCGCGAAACTTGGAGCGAAAAATTCAACCCCTGTAGCAGAGTTGAGCGCCGATACGAGTAGAACGGCGAAAATAATCTGGAATTTAATCGAATGATTAGTATAATCACGGAATAATCGCTTTAAACGATTATTAATTATTTCGAATGAAATAGAAGAGAAACGTACCAACATGGCACCGCCAGCACGATAGATTGTCGCCAATGTTACTTGTTAAATGGTTGCGACGCACTATCCCCGAGATCTTTTATATTCGGCGTTTAGCGATGCGAGACAACCGAATGGGTTTGGCTTTTCTATAATTGACAAAAAACCTTGTCGAGAAAAACCGAGTTAAATCTCGCGCTACTCTCCCTGATTCTCGGTGTTTAACCGGCGATGTCAACGACCCAGCTCCTCGTTAATTTATATTTCCTCGATTGCATACCTGGTGAGCAGTCGACGATTGTCACCCGTGACTCTCAATTTTTCGAAGAGGAAAGCGAGTCACAGCGTATCCTCTGACAATTTAGATTAAAATTACGTCCAAGTAGTTCGTTCGCTTCGTTTCAAATTCTTCTTTCTTTTCTTTTTTTTTTTTTTTTGTATTTCGTCTTTAGTAATCGTATCTCGACATTTAAGATTTTCAAAGAGCGAACAAAAATTATCGAAAGTTTTTCGACACTTTTAAAACTTGTTAAGATTTTTTCCAAGAGGTTTATAAAGTTTTGTTATTCAAGAATTTAACGAGAGTTTCGAGCGACTGAATTTCAAGAGAAATAACGAGACGAACAAGCGTATCGAGAGCGTTGTTCGAAGGGATTTGTATTCGCGAGAAGAAGAAACTAGAAACTATTATCCTCTTTTGAAATTCGTCCTCGAAGGGATAAAGAATTTAGAGAAATCAAGATAAGCCAAAGTAACGATCAAGTTCACCGGAAGTACAATTAACCGATCGTTCGTTCCTTCTCAAGAAATTGCTCGACCATATTATTCTCAGCCGTGTCGCAGCCCGAAAAGAAAAAAGTTTCTAATTGCTTTCCAACTATAATTTCTAGTGAAAGTTATTGCAACGGATATATTCCAATGCGTGGTCTCTGTTTCAAATTGAATCCATCACGGTTGGCGCAACGTGCGCAGGAAATTGAAAGAAGAATCAGCGCGTCGATAATTCGCAAAAAACGGGAGCGTTAAAGATGGCGTCGATTACGTCATAGGGATTTATTTTCCTTTTTTCAGCAGAAAGTTGGCAGATCTTCGTTGAATGCGATCAATGGTGCGAAATCGTCGTTTTTTTTTTTTTTTTTACTAGATTACACGTTTCAACTTAATTAATCTAAGTGGAAAATATTTGTAACATTTTCTTACGTTCTTTTAGTATTGCGAAAGTTTCGAAAAACTTCTCGCACTTTGTTCCGATTCGAAGAGAAAAGTAAAAGTAAACCGAAGGTCGGAAAAAAGGAAGGTAAGATCGAATGTAAAGAAGAATAAAAGTAAACTCACATTTCTCGTTTATAGTAAGTAATATATACAACAAACGATAGCACCTTAAAAGTAAACAATTGCAACTTTTCTTTCAGTCTCAATTTAAAACTCTCTTAACTCCAATATTGCAATGATCTCTGACAAAAAGTAAATTTCATGTCGTTCGTTTCTTTCTCTCGATTCAATTTAACAATGAATAGAATACAAAAGAAAAATAATGGACAGACTTATTTCGTATCAAATTTTTGCGTATTTCATTATCTTACCAATTTCTACGATTAAAAAAGTACATTTACTCTACGACAAAAAAATTCTTTAGAATATTCCTTTGTACAAATTCAAACTTTCCTCTTCTCCGACGAAGATATCCGAGAATTGGAGTATCCCAAATTTGACATCTTTTTAAAATAATCCCTCAAAGCATCGTCGTAAAACTTTTGCTGCATTCGTTGCTTCTCCGTCTCGAAGAACTGCTTCAACTGATCCTTGTCCCGAAAATAGTTGGGGGTATCGCCGCCAGGCAGCTGCTTGTTCTTCATCAACATTCCGTAAAAATTATGCATCTTGGGATTGTTGTACGCGTTCTCCTTGCCCTCCAACCCTTTCAAACCAGTTTTGGAAAAATGGGAAATTTTCTCGCGGGACAAGGGCGAAGTGGAACCGAGGCGAGAATCGAACGACGAACCCTTTCTGAACTGTCTCGACTCGTGGACATTTCCATATTTGGAAAGCCCGTCGACGCGTACCGGCTCGATACTCGACCCAGAAGCCTCGATACCTCCCGCCTTGGAACTACTCCTCGGATGCGATCTTGGCATCCCATGATGATGATTGTGGTGATGATGATGATTGTGGTGATGATTATGATGATTGTGATTCTTGTATCTGCTCGGTCCAGGCCGTTTCTTTCCTGGTTTCTCGGTTTGGTGGAAATGATTTTTCCCCCGATGAGAATTGAACTGGGGCGGTGTCAAAAACTCCTTGGCAAACTTGGTGTCTCTGAGATCACCCGTCGCAACCCCCAAACCGTAATTGTCCTGTTCGTTAGGCCTGCGATGTCGATGAGGTTTGCTCGCACCTCCGTTAAAATTGTGCAAAGGATCGGCCGGGCTCTTCTTCAGCATTTGTTCCAACGCGGCCATCAGAGATTCGTCCGGCTTCAATCCGTTGAACAACTCCGTCGTCCTCACCTTGGTCTCGCTATGATCGGCATCGCCATGATTCTTCTTCTTCCTGGAATCCAACGAGGCCTTCAATCGTTGCAGCTCGTTCCTCAACTTCGCTATATCGGAATCGGTGATGTTGTACCGATTGTAGCCCGCCTTCCTGTCGTTGTTCCACTTCTGAGTGTTGTAAATGGTCTTTAGAGACTCCTTGAACATCTGCTCCGCGTACGCCTGCAGATCCGAGGTGAGTTTCGGCTTCGTGAGAAGCTCGTTCTGGGCCGTGAAGCTTGGCTTGAAGAAGTTGCCACCCGGCAACAACGGAACGAGGTTCAGATTCTGTTGCAGAGGTTCGACCGCGTGCAGCTTACCGTTCAGGGCGTTCTGACTTTTCACCACGTCCACGTTGGGCACGAAGTTGAGCGGGTTGTACACAGGCCTGGGCTTCGTCGGATCGTCGACAGGGCGCACCTCGGTGGTCGCGGTCGCCGCGTTGATCGGCTCGATGGTGGAAGACAAGAGGGCGGGTCTGGCCGTGACGAAGCTGGTCGTGGCGAACATGGGTATCGAGGTGGTCAGAACAGCAGCCGGATAATGCATCGTCTCGTAGGAATTGACGATCGAGGCGTCCGGTTTCATGTTCGGATTCACGATTTCCACGTTCCTGGTCCCCACGTGCGGTAGATGGCCATTGATCCCTGGCAAACCGTTCACCGTGTTGATATTGTCGGTGCTGTGACTGCCCGCGCTATCGATCATTTGATACGCGAGAGACGGGAATTTCACGTTTCTCAAATTTGACGCGGAACCGCCGTTATCCCCGACACCGCCCTGGTTCGGAAATCGTTGGCCCTGATCCCCGCCCGTGTTCCCTAGGAACGGTTGAGAAGTGGTGGACAGGCTGGTGTAGGTTGGCACAGGTTGCAACACCGCCGGCAACAAATTGGTCGTTTGAACGTAGGTTTTCGTTCTCGGTGGTGGAACGTTGAGCGCGTGGTGGTAGAAGCCTGCCAGGGGCACCTGAGGAGGTGGTTGCTTATTAACTATTTGCTGGCCGTTCGAGTTTCCCAGATAATAAGAATTGTCGTTCGATGGTACTTGGCCTTGATCGTTGTGGCCGACCGCCAGGCTGGCCGTGGCCAAGAAATTGGTGTCCGTGTCCGGAAGCAGGGCGTTCTTGCTTTGCGATTCAGACGTTATCAGATTGATCTTCGTAATCGGTATAGCGTGCGCCACGGTTGGGGTAATGGTGGGCATCGTTGGAAGCGGTTGCACCTGCAAATTACCATGACTAATAGGATTCTGGCCGTGCATCCCGTGAGGATTCACCTGGATATAATCGGCGGCCGCCGTGACAGGCGTTTGCACCAGCGTCGAGAGAGTTTGAAGGGTCGGCTGTGGAAGTATCAGCCGTGGCGGTTGGTGGTTGTTGGCCGACATCTGATTCGAGGGATCGATGCTCGTACGAGTCGTGTCCTGCGCCTCCTGGATCTGCACGTTCTGGAAATTGGGGTTAGGCTGACCGTGAAAACGGGGGCTATCGTGGTAGACAGGTACTGGGGTTTAAGATTCTGGGGGGAGAATCTATTGCTCTGCTGGCCGTTCGTTTGCGGAAGTACCGCGTGCATCGAATTGCGAAAGTTGCCCTGGCCGACGATAATGTCCGGAAGGGTGGGCGTGGACACCCTTATCTTCCCCTCGTTCTCGCCAGAATTTATCGAGGCAGCCGTGTTTGAAACGATATTGCGCAAAATTGCGTTCGACACGTCGAATCCTTGACTGCTTCCAATCGCCGTTGCGTGGTCGAAGCTCGTAGGCACCAGGTTCACTTTGACGGGAACGATCAGCTTAGGTTTCTCGAGTTGATCGATCTCGATACCGCTCGAGTGCGAGATCTCCAGATTCGGGGATATCTGGTTCCAGCTGGTGCTCGGCCTGAACTTGGCGTGCCTCGTCTCCGACAATCTACCGTCGTATCTAACGTCCTCGTAGCTGTCCTCCTGCTCTCGATGCCTGTCTTCGTCCGACCACGAGCTCCCTCTCGTTCTTTGCCGATGAGCCTGCCTCGATCTCGACGAGTGATGCTTCGTTTTCCCCTTGTGCTCCTCCGCGCTGTCCTCCACCGAGCCTCGATGCTCCTTCGGCAGCCTCTTCGAGTTGCCGTTGGGCCGCCTCCTACTTTTCTGCTGCACCTTTCTCGGCCTCTCCGTGTATTCCACGTAATCGCTGTCGTCGGACGTGTCCCTCGAGTCCTCGTCGTTCTCGAACCTTCCATCCCTGTTGTTCATCGTGTAACGATGCGACGCCTCCGAACCTTCGATGATCCTCGAAGTTTGGTAATCGTCGAGATCCGATATTCCGGACGGTTGATCGAACTTGTTGTAACTTGTCGGTTCGGCGACCACGACGGGCCTGGAAAATTTGTGGCTGTTCGTGAGTTGAGAGGAGGAGGAGGAGGAGGATGGTGTCCCGTCGTTCTTGACGTTGGTCTTCAGAAAAACACCCTGGTTCAGGCTTGGAAAGGACGAGGCGGATGGCTCGTTCTGGCCGCCGTATCCCGTGACGTATCGCTGTTGATAATTGCCACCCACTTTCTCCCTGTCGTGACTCCTCCTTCTTTCTTTATCCTCGGCCGGGTCGGCAGAATAGTAAAAGCTGTACGAATTGCCCTCGTTATTTCCCGAGGAAGGCGAAACGACCATCCCGTAATTTCCCACGTAACCTTCTGTCTTTTGATCCTTCGTTTCACCTCGTTTCGACGATTGCTTGTCGAGAATATTGCCTCCGCTCGGCTCTTCGTACAAATTCGGATAATTGGCTATCTCCGGTGTATCGTTCCTAACTTTCAACAGATCGAAATCGTTATGATTGGCTTGATACTCGAACGATCTACGATTCGAGTTCAAATTAGAAAAGTTGAGCAGTATCCTCGCCTCGGTCGAGTATATGGGATCGTTTACGAAGTCGTCGCTCTCCCTCGTTTCCTTCGCCTCGTTCTTCCCGCCGTCGTCGATTCTGCTCGAATTTTCATTTTCGTTCAACGAATTGTTCAAAGTAACGTTGATCGTTTCTTGATCGTCCTTTTTCAAAGCGGAACCACCGAGTTGTTGGCGCGGGTCGAACGGCGGCGGGGACGAGGACACCAATATAGGCACGAATCCGTTCGAATTCTCGTAGTGGACGGTCGTGTCTATTATAGATGTTATCAACTGGTCTCGAAAATTATCCCGCCTCTGTTCCACCTTCTCCCCCACGTTTTGCGCCACGTTCTCGGACGCGGTTGCGATCTGATCGAACGCCGCTTCCTTCTTGTTCCCTGCGCCTGTTACGCGTGGCCAGCTCAAACATAAGAGAACGACCTGCGTCGAACACGAAATATTTGTTAATCGATCTTATTTAATCAAACAATTTAACGAATGATAGAAACGAATGGTATAGATAAAAGTATAAAGTTTGATATTAAAGTATTATTAGAGGAGCATAGATTGAAATCAGATTTGTGAAAATTCTTGAAATGGCCAATTCAAAAATCGAGATTGATGCTATTTAATCAAACAGTTTAACGAATGATAGAAACTCAATACGGATAAAAGTATAAAGTTCAATATTAAAATATTATTGGGAGAGCATAGATTGAAATCAGATTTGTGAAAATTCTTGAAATGGCCGGCTCAAAAATAACAGAACGAAATATTTGCATCGAAATATCTGTTAATCGATTCTATTTAATCAAACGGTTTAACGAATGATAGAAACTCGATACAGATGGAAGTATAAAGTTTAATTTGTATTATTAGGAAAGCATGAATTGATAGAAACTCGATATGAATGAAAGTATAAAGCTTAAGTTAAGGTATTATTGGGGAAGCATAAATTGAAACGAGATTTGTGAAAATTTTTGAAATGGCCAGCTCAAAAATAAGAGAACGATCGAAATATTTGTTAATCGAGATCGATCCTATTTAATCAAACAGTTTAACGAATGATAGAAACTCAATATGGATAAAAGTATAAAGTTTAATATTAAAATATTATTAGAGAGAGCATAGATTGAAATCAGATTTGTGAAAATTCTTGAAATGGCCGGCTCAAAAGTAACAGAACGACTTGCATTGAAATATTTGTTAACCGATTCTATTTAATCAAACAGTTTAACGAATGATAGAAACTCGATACAGATGGAAGTATAAAGTTCGGTTTGTATTATTGGGGGAGCATAGATTGAACCACCATATTTGTGGAAATTTTTGAAATAATATATACATATATCGGTTGGAAATCATAGTGTATCGAGTAACGTGTTATTTGAGTTGATACCCGAAATAATTTCGAATATCGTGATTTTTGTTTGGAATTATTTCGACGATTATTCCTTCCCGTTAAATATGGAATTTGTTAATTAAAGTCCTCAACGTTTGAAACGTCGTAATTTTTCCGAGCCGGGAGATTATTATTTCGACGATCGTCTGTTTCGTTGGTTCGGTTTCGTTGGAAAACGAGCGAGTAACAAAATCGCTCGTTAGTTGAAAATAAATTATTCCATGCAAATTAATATTCCATATATTTTCCGAATATTGAGAACACAGGTCGAAATATTATTTCGCATAATTGTTCCTCGTTTAAATTTCAAATCGAATTGCCTCGGATCTGATTAAATCGTAGATGATGATCGCATATCTCGAATTTTATATCCCGGCCGGCCAACACGACACGTTTATTTATCGCGTGAACGTCGATTATTCGTTGAATCCCGATTTAATCAAAATTATACGAGATATTTGTGAAATAATTATCCGAGATTCCTATTAAACGATCGTTACGCTCGAGGAGAGAAATTTTTAAATTTCCCGCTCGCCTACCCCTTCGCCTGCCCCGAATTTCGAACTGGAAGAATTACCGGATGATCACGGCGTTTAATTGCACGCGTTTTCTATTAAACGCGTCCTCGTAAAACTCGAGCTCGTTCGTCGTTGCAAGGACGCGCAACGATCCTCGAGAGAAGAAAGCGCTAAACCGATAATTGGGAATTTAAGGTAATACGAAACCGCTAAACGGAATGATCGGTGAAAATAAGTGGCAGCCAAGGGGACTGACCTAGAAAAAAACGGGCAGGCTGGGAAAAGTAAAATGCATGCGTGTACTATTATGACAATCAAGGACTGAATGTGCACGGGAGCAAATCCATAGAAACTTTCTCACCGATTTGGAAAAACAATTTAATCGAATCTTTTCCCATTTGGAAAAACGAATCATTCAACGAACGAAGATTTCGTTATACAACGAAAATTGTCGCGTATATGATCGAATTTAAAATCAACGATTGGTGAACAATATCGTTGTTGTTTTTTCTAGTCAATGATAAAAATAGGAGGAGATAGGATTTAATCGTCGAGAAATGAAGGGAAATTGGTTTTTTAAACCAATCTTAAAGATTTTCAACCGTTCTGTTCCACTTTCGTTCGAGGAAAATGGTCTCCTCGATATGCGCGAGATTTCAGCCATCGATTCAGCCGAAAGAAAATAAGATCTTTTTCCTCTGATTGGCAGACTCGAGAGTACGCGAGCACCAAATTAGGGAAGATTCTGTCGAAATGCGAAGAGAGAAAGAAAGTGCTCCAATTACATACGATCTACGTGTCTGTTATTTGGACACACTCTATAAATTTTATCGATGTTTAATTTTTCGGGTAAATATTAAACAGCGTTACGTACTACTTTTTTATTAAAATTCCTTCGACGTGTTAATTATTTCCCCGCGTGTGTGTGTTTCTTTTATTCGAGAAAATAACAGAGCGAAACAATTGGAGTTGAATAAAAGAAGCGTGATTTATTAATTGCAATTCGAACGAATTCAAAAGAAAAAGAAAAAAAATAAGGCACAATTTTTAGAAAAAAAATCTTCTAACCATTCCGATCACAATCGTCACGCGGGATCGATAGATTTTACATACACTTGTACTCAAAAATTTTATGCATAACCAACGCGTTACTTACGAGATGAAAGAACATTTTCCTATCCATGGTAGGAGCACCGTTTGCCCCCCTAAAACAGAAAACCACGATTAAGATGGGCCGAATTTCACTGAGCTTCGCGTAGAGCACATCGATGATCGCGACCACGATATTTTACTCCGATCCCCTGTGTCAAGTAATCCGAAAAAGACGTTGCGAGGTGGATCTCCACGCGAGAACTGAGCCACATAGTAGACACGCGATTTTCTTTATACACTCTGGTAGCCAAGAGTGAAAAATATCGTTCTAAATATTATCCTGTACTCCACCATCAAGAGGATACTTTCATTCGCGACACGCGACCACCGTTGGAAAATTCTTGTCCATTTTTCTGCTCAGCATTTTATGCTACCGTCCATCGTTAACGCGCCAGCCATTCACCTAAAGAAAAGGAAGAAGAAGAGAAAGAAAATTTACGTGGCTCGATCGCACGATCCACGCGTTTGAAATTCGACAAAAAAACAAAAAGAAAAATTACCAATTAACCGGATCAAAACGATCTCCGCATACAAATCGATCCATCTCGTTACACGTGCCCTGCTCATCAAAGTTTATCGTGCCATTTAATCGCACGGATATTTCGGGCAATAATAATAATAATTTTTCAACGAGCGGAATCGATGCCATCAGATATAAGGAGAATCGTAATTGGATAAAGATTCGCCTCGGATGTGGTCAGTAGTTTCTCGACTGCGTTCTATGCGCTCTGAAACACACGCATTATGCGCCACCTCCTCCTAGATGCAACCGGGCTGCCACGATGGAAATGGCCTACGCCGATGATAGACCGAGCATTCTGCTCCTGCTTCTCTGCGTTCGCGACGGGCCGCTCACAATCGTCACAGTTTAATGCCTCGCCTCTAATTGCTCCTCGCTCCGGTGTATACAGCGGGAGATATTATCGTCGCCTTTCATTGTGAAAACGTGGAATTAAGCTCGCCCTACGCGACCATCCCAGCTTGCTTAACGGATTAACGGATAATTAAATGCTAATTGCCTTCCTTTCGCGAATATTTCAACAACGTCCCATCTATTTTCTTCTTCCTTCGACCGTTAACTGTCTTAAAGAGTTGGGGAATAATTTTTCTTTATCGCGTTTGAGATTTAGATTTAGATTTGTTTGTGCGTGTTTATGCATCGAGACAAGTTTGTTGTTGCTTCGATGTCGATCTTGATGCGAACGAGTTTCGAAGTCGTCGTTTATTTAGCCACATTACGAGCCTGCCTTTTTCCACAATGAGAAAATACGTTGTAAGCGAGATATATGGGTGTTTTCATATTAGAAATTAGACGCGAGTTTTTACTTTTCTCGAATATTTTAGATCGACCGCTTTCAGGTTAATTAGATGAGCATGCTGAACGTCTATTAATCACAGAGAGATATTGGGTGTTATCGAAGAAATTTCGATGGAGGTTGGGAGTTGAAAGTGACGAAAAAGAAAAAAAAGAAAAAGAAAAAAAAATAGATCTTTATCGTTTGGAATTCGCGACGAACGATGGACTCTTTTTTTTTTTTTTTTTTTTTTTTTTTAGATAAAATGAATTCCGAATCAAAAGAGAAACTTCTTTCTTTAATTTTCATGGAATTGGTGAAAATATCGCAAGAAATATAACGTCGATCCAGATTTTAAAGGAGATAATAAAGGTATATATTTGATGAGAACGTTTATTCGATCGAAAGATAGGAATGTATACAAAAGCGTAAATCGTTTAGTACCAGATCCTTAATAGCTAAGTTTATAAGGTACCTTATTGAAGTGAGAAATTTGGTCGATCAGCGGCAACGATGCGCCAACTCTTCGAAATTTCGAAGGTCCAACTTTATTATTATTGCACAATCCCGAAATAATCATAAATACCATCAAACAACTATCCTTAAACCATATATAATATATATGTGTGTGTGTGTATATCAATTACATCTCGTTCTTCTCAATTTCAACAACGCAAAGGCTCCTTACAAAATAATAGATACATCACTCTCAGGTACATCTAGATTTTACATCTCTTTGCATCCAGAAATATTTTTCAAATTTCTCTTTTTCTTTTTTTTTTTAATTAATTTCGTAATCTCGCGAATCTTGGATCGTCGATTATCTCAACGTTCTTCATCTTCTGCCTTCCCCGTGAACCTTCCACGTAACGACCGTTGACAAAGTTTTTCGATTCCTGCAAATTACTCGTCTCGTAGCTCGATTTCCCCACGTACGAGTTGTAAGTGGACGAGTGACGCGCGTCATCCTCGGTCAATCGGATCGGATCGAGGGCACGATTTTTCTCAAACCCGTCGAACGTGGGCCGTTTGGCGAGCGATCGTTCCGTCGTTCCAAAATTATAGGTGGAAGGTTCGGCCAGCTGTTGAATGCTCTTCGCGTACTGGACCAGGTATCGTTGCAGCAGAGCCTTCAGATTAATGTTCTCCGTGGCCTTGGTCTGGATCGGGGACGCCCCGTCCACCCTCAATATGATGACCGGTATCAAAGAGTTTCCGGCCTGCACGAAAGTCGGTCTCACGTTCAATATGGACGAGGGATTCCTTATGTACTCCGATATGGACGGGTTGTAATTCAACAGATCCGAATATCGTAGATTGGAGTAGCTGCTCAAATCGTTGTTATCGAAACTTTGCCTCGACTCTTCGTTCAATACCTTGTCCAGGTAACCCTGCACCTTACTTGGCACGTACTTGGACGTCACGGAAGTGACAGAGTTGGAGGACGACGCGAAGAAAGGCGTGGTGGCGTTGGTAACGCTGGCCTCGGTCGTGTAACCGCTAGTGTATTCGGGATTCGGGCTGTCCACCATGTATCTCGACAAATTTTGCCGATAACTCTTCGAGTCGGGCCTTCGAGAAGGCTTGCTCTTGGCCAACGACGACGACGACGAGGAGGAGGAGGAAGAGAGAGAGTAGGACGAGGGTGCCGCGTTGGCCTTGTGCCGTTGCGCGATCTGCGATCTCTGGCTAACCAGATTCTGATAACTCAGCCGGTACACTTGTTGCTGCGGCAAACTCGTGGACAAGGATTCCGCGGAGATGTACGGGTTTGGCTCTCGCCCGGTTTCCTCGGATATCGAGGGGAATTGCACCGGCCCCTGCGAGAGAACGCTGTTCTCCGCCGCCCGTTCTCCGTTCTCGTAAATCGAGCGCGAGTCCTGCGATTTCACGGGCTCCTCCGACTCGCGGGGATACTCGCGAGGGTAAGTGGTCTCGACGTAGGTGGCCGGTGGCACGTCCGACACCCTGCCGTCCGGATATTTCCAGAACACTTTGTTCTCGTAACGCACCCCGTTCTCCACCGTGTACTTCGGCTGGACGCTGCTGCCTTCATTCTGCTGCTGGAACGAAGAAGGGTTGTAGGCGAACGGGGAGGCGGTGGAGGAGGAGGCCGCGTTTTGGGCGAAGCCGTGAGAATTGATTGAATCGGATTGAACGTGATTCTGCCGGCCGACGTAAGTTTCCCCGCTGCGGAACAACGGGGGATCCTGTGTGGCGTAGGTGAACTGGTTCCTGGCGAAGTTGGCCGGGCTGGGGGTCACGTATCGCGCCGTGGTCGCCGCCCCATTGTCCCTCGTATACCCCGAATTTTGAATTCCCAACGAGCTTAGGGAGGCCGGTTTCGCCGTTGTGAAGAAGCTTTGGTAGTTCTCGTTCGTGTTTTGAGGCTTCGTGCGTAATCCGAACACGGGCTGGGGCTTCGCCGACCGATGGACATTCAGATAGGCGAAGTTGTGCCCGCTCCTTTGAGAGTTTATCTCGGAGAAAGTGGTAGACGTGGCGAAAGAGTTGTGGCGAAGCGCGTTGATCTGATGCGACGTTTTCTGTGGATCTGTTTGATGATTGTCGGGCACCCTCTCGATTATCGTTTTGGGTAGGAAAGGGCTGATCGATTCCTCGATGCTCACCGTCGTCCCACTCTTCCCGGCCGGGAAATAATAATTGTACCTTTTCGTCTGAACGTTGTTTAGGCCGTAACCGAGACCACTGTCCACGGTTCGTTTCGATTTTTCCTCGTAGCTGGTGTTCCCGTTCTCGGTGTCGTTCGCGAAGTCGAGCAGAATTATCGGCGGCAAAATCGGCATTTTATCTCGCATCCGATCCTCCGCTTTCGTCCCGTCCTCCAATTTCACCGTGTCGTCCAATTGGGAAATGGTGGTGGTGGTGGTGGTGGTGGTGGTGACGGTGGTGGCGGCCGACTCCTGCACATCCTCGTCCTCGTCGTCGTCAACGGTCAAAGGCTTCCCAGAGACGTTGGGCAGGGAGCAGCAGAGAGCAATTATGAGAGGAATCTGAAAGTGACGAGGCACGTGTGAGAGAACTCGTTTAACGCGTTATAACAACGTGTATAAGTTGATTCGACCGATCTTACTGGCTCGATGCTCCACTAATGTTAATGTCTTTCGCTTTCACTTCCCTTCCCTTTTGCCTTCTCACGCTACCCTTCTTAATTAATTCTAAAACTTGATTATCAACGAACGTTTAATGTTGCCATTATCGAGGGAGGAAGGAAGAGAGGAGGAGGGGAAAAAATCGTGCTTTCTCGTTGCGAGAGTTTTATCATTATTGGCGACCTTGGCAGGGAAAGAGTGGTGAATTTCTACAAGGTCGCAGCTGAGGCCAAACACCCGAGTACGACGAGTCAGGGGAATAACGAGTTTCTTGCCTCTCTTCTCCGATTTTCACCGCTTTCTTCGACAAATATACGCGCCTCGGGACACGTTTCGCGTTTAAAATTTATTTCCATGCGAGGAGACGACATATTCATTACGAATTCTTGTAATATTTCCCGTCACGTTCTTTCTTTCGTTTTTAATTTTTCTCGAGGACGAACAATTTCGAGGAAATTGTTTTGCAAATACGTGAAAGTAGTTTCGCGAACGAACATTCCGCCATTCTTCTTCTCCGACGGATTACCATAGTAATTGATTTTTGAAATCGTCCGACTCCTATATATATATATATATATATATACACGATTAATATCTGTGAAGGAATGCTGGTTTCGCGCCATTTTCATTCTTTCGATCGAGGAAATCGAACGGTTACCTAATAATAAACCGAACAGATTTTACGAGCAGATCTCGAGAGTTGCTGTTCCTCGAATACCTTCAAGGACTTTCACTGACTCGTCCAAGAGCATCTGCCGTGTTGTTACTCTCCGCCGGCCTCGCGTGGACGAATGAAAATAAGAAACACTTTCTCCATAATGACCGGAGAGCGAGAAGAGTCTGGTTTATCTCGTCGGATTCAGCTCTACCGGTGAAAATAACGGATCGTACATTTGTTTTAATCCAGCCGACATGAAACGAGGAATAAAGACGATTGTAAATGATATTATTTAATCGGTCGTTTAATTTTATTAATTTTAAGCGTTTAATTATTATTGAATATTATTAATGCAATTTATCCGCGAAGATAAGAAGCAGCGTTAAGAATTAGCAGCAGCTGTATCTCTCGCGAGATCTTCGCGCGAAATGGGGCGAGATAAGTTGAAGAAGGTGCACGAAGAACGCATACAAATAACAGTACTATTATCGTGAACGTTCGGAGCAACTAATAGGGATGATCCTTCATAAACGAGATAAGGGAGAGGCCATAGTTCCCGCGCACGTGAAACCATTATTTCCACGATTCGATGATTCGCGTCTTCTGAAAAGTGACGTGGACGTCGTTGATCCATCGGCGAGATAAAAAAGAAAATGAATAAACAAATAAATAACTAATGCGCGTTATATTTCAAATATATAAAAAAATATAAAATATATATTGGATGGATAGTGGCAAGTACGACACGTTCAATTTTGCAAACTGTAAATGCACGAATGAATTTACATAAATTTACATTTATCGCATTAATAAGATCGCTGGTTTATTATGAAATCTGTATAGAAATATCGAGTTGATCGTCATCAGCCGCCACGTTACGTTTAAATAGAAAAAAAAAAAAAGAAAAATGTTAGAAGAATATTTGTTTTAAGGTAAAAACGTTAAATTCCCATAGATTTAAAAAAATAAATGACGAATGTTGATTTAGAAAATTGATTGTCAAAACAATTGTGACAAGTTGAATTTTCATTTCGGATGGAAACGTTAATAGCAAGTATTTATTTCAAAAATCAAAAAGAAAATGTCGAAAGGAGGAGAAATTCTGGTACTTACGTGTATCACGAGCATCTTCATAATGGCGGCCGACCTTAAACTTCTCGCGTTTATTTGGAACTGATGAAGCAGTGGCGGCAACATCCCACCTTATATGCCTTCGCTTGAACCGCGAGAGGGACACCACGATTATAGTTTCACCGGTGTAACACACTGACATTCCACGCTCGATACATATGGAAAGACACCTGCCACTAGCGTAGAGACGCACACGTGTGCTCATCCTCGGCCAATATTTCGTCACGAAGAAAGTTGGAGGTCACGATAATACCTCGCGATTAATCATCGTTGCTTTTTGCTTTGCATATCCTTGCCGATTAATTTCGTTCATCTAATTACCCTACGAGATTATGCTAGACAAGATCTTTGGGATTACGAAAATAATTGTGATATTGCGTCATTTGCGTGTCGACAAAATGGGAATATAAAAGATAAATTGTTTACTATTTCATATCTTTCGTTATCTTTTGGCTGATTATTTATTTTTTTATTCATTTCGGTGAAAATTATTTCTGGACAAGTAATTTTACGAAAGCCTACACCATTGGACCGCTTCTTCAGCATCCGCTTTCTCATTTTGGTTTATGCGTAAACAAGTGTGCCTGCTATCTTATGTCAGAGAATCTCTATTAGAAGAAGCGATATCGATATTGTGACTAATTTCGTAACCGAGGAACTGAACTAATGAATTAGTTAACGTCAAAGAAAGAGAAGACACGATTTGGATTAAAAACTTCTTAAATATTTCTACAATTATTAAATTGTATCGATTAATCGAATACTTAATACTCGATCTTTAATCTTATTTCTTCTGATATATAACCTTTTTAAAAATTTAATTTTTACGTACAATAATTTCATTCAAATTATCGTTCGACGATAAAACTTGCTACAGTATCAGAATTTGATGAGATATAGGACACGGGTTAGTTTAATAAGAATTTATTATTAAAAAAATGATATATAAAAGGTACACTCATAGGTATATGGAAAAGTGAAAAGAATAACAAAGTTAAACATAAGAAATAACGCTGATTTAACGATCTTCGATAAAAGACTAGATGCGACCATGCCTTGTACATATATAATATAATTAATGGCATGACTTCACTCGCTTATTAATTGTTTTAAATGTCGATGCCCCATGAAGAGGCTCGACGTAGAAAGATACGATATGTCATCTATTGTCATTTAAGTTTAGTCGTGCAATTAGGCAGATTTACATTTCTAATCGTGCAGCACGATCTTGAAAGTAGAAAGATACATCGAAATTAAGGTTGAGAAATCTTGAGAACATCGTGTTGCTCGTTCGCATCGAAGCTAACGGTATCGCTCATTTTACTGACCATCGTGCTCGTCGATTAGATAAAGAAGAAAATTCCCATGGATGATTTTTTTTTACTCGATTTTACGCTTCTTGTAGAGAAAATTTTCTTTCGATGGAAGGAAGCCTCTTTCCAATTGTATGGGCCTTTCTTGATATCTGTAATAAAGATGAAGGATTTCTTGAAGTTTTTTTTAAAAATGAAAGATGTTGAATTATTATTTTTTGAAATTAATCTCGTACCTGGAAGAGTCGTGAGCTGCTATCAATTTGCTCGGAATGTACGAATCCAACAAAGATCTGGGCTCAGACGAGCCTACTTGATTCTGTTCAGGAATAGATTCTTCGTCTTGCGCAGGGACAGGAGACAGAGGTGTGGCGCCAAATTTGAAATCCTGCGGAGGCACCTGAGGTGGCACCAAGTCAGTGTTTGGTCCTTCCGAATCCTTTTAAATGCATATTTGTAAGTAAATCTTTTCGTCCAAGAGGAAATTTGCATATATTCAATATTTGTAGTTGAATAAAAGAAATGTATCAAATTCTATTTAAATTAACCCTTTCGATAGTAAATTATCTCAAAATATAAGATTCGTATTCAGATTTATCTTATGAATAATATTTTCCTCGTTCAAAATTTTCATTTACACAACTAATTACCGATTACAGCATACACGAAACCTATTCTTCAATAGATTTATTTTATAAATAATATTCTCTTCGTTCAAGATTCACATTTACATAACTAATTACCAATTCAAGAAAATAATATCTGCAAGATTCATACTTGAAATAATCCATACATAAATATAGTTTCTAGTAGAAAATGATTTTAAATGATAAATATTCATCTCCAAATTTATTAATACGAATAAATTTTCTTCGTTCAAGATTCGCATTTACCACAACTAATTTTCAATTCAAGTAAATAATATCTGCATGATCCGTAAATGTATTCTTTCAAGCGTGTACTTAATACCAAATTACATTAAACGATACACGCACGCTCTCGTCTCCAGAATGACGGATAATTTCTTCGTTCAAAATTCACGTTCACTGTTAATTAATTACTCGATTCATCTGGATAATTCACCTTCTCTCCATTCCATTTGATATTCAAGTATCGACTACGAACCTTGACGTAATTCCTAGTCACGGTATGGCTGCTTTGCTGCCCGAGAACTTGATTCGACAGGTCATCGACAACAGGCGTATGCTCGATCGGTGCTGCGTATTTCCCTTGCAAAGAATTATCCTGATCGTAGCCAGGTAGACGCGCGTAAACGTCGGTGTAAACCGGCGCGGCTTGCATGTAAATCGTGGCCGGTTGAGCGTACACTAGCTGAGAAACGTACTGAGACGGCTGAGACGGAGCAATGTACGCCTGTGTGTACAAAAGCTGTCTTCCTTGGGCGTACGATTGATCTACCGGCGGGGCGTAAGCTGAGGCCACGTTCAATACCTGGGAGCCGGTGAATTTCTTTGAAGAAACGGGTGCCGAGTAGACCGCGTTCTTCGTCACCTGAAATGCATAAAGAATATTAGGATGATTGGAAATCTTGGAAAATACTGCGACGAAATTCCAGAAAACTCGAAACACTTTTGCAATTTTCGCGAAAAATAATTTGCGATCTCATAGTGGACGAAAAATAGTATTCGAGAATTTAGAAATTCTTTTTTCTTCTTCTTTTCTTGATACTGTTTCGTTAGATATTGACCTTGGTTGAAGAAGCAGCAGGCACGGCGTTGTATTTCGGGGCGTACTGAATTTGATAAGTTTGCTTTACAGGAGTTGCCTTTTGACTTATGGTTGTTGCGTAGAGCGGAATGGAAATATGATTGGTCGCCGTTGTGGTCAATTGGGGTAGCAAGAAACCACTGTTTTTACCAGAATTCACGTCCAAATTCGGATAGTAAGTCAAAAGATGCATGGTTGGAATATCGACGTATATCGGTTCTGCAAAATACAATTGATCGATCAAAGAGAAATTAAATTAAACCTTAGGATGTTAGGATATTACGATATATTGTACGAATATTTACGTATAATTACCTTTATTCACATTTTTCGCGAATTTTGCCGTGACCGTTTTTTGCTGAATCGCCTGCAATTGGTTTCCAACGTTCACTTCCTGTTGATAAGCCAATTGTTGCGATTCATAAATGTTCGGCGCGACTCCTTTCGAAGGTAATGACGATTGTTGTTGGTATTCGTTGTAATACCGCTGCGATGATTCGGGTAAAATATTACTTTGCTGCTGATACACTTGAGTATCCTTTGTGGCGTACGTGTTCGAGGGAAGCTGAACAAATACAAATCGTGCACGTTACTGGCAAATACATGTATAAATTGCGATATCTCTCTCATAAAAATCCCCTTTTTACATTTTGCACCGAGGATGGTGTTACGTATGTGAGTGGTGCACCGCTCGGTCCACGATACGATATTTGATACCGTTGCTGGCCAATTTCCGGCTTCGTGGGATACTTTGCCTCTTCAACCCGTGCAACACCGGTCTTCGATATACCCTCCACTCTCAAATTATCCCTCTCAATATCCTCCAAGTTGATCTTGTTCTCGCCTCTCACGCCGATGCACAGAAGACCGAGTATCAAGTAAACTTTCTGGAAAATAAACGGAACTCGTGTAGCAATCTGTAAATGTGTTTTTTATGTATCGCTTTGAAAAAATCGCTTAAAGATGTTTGAAATTAAAAAAATTTCATGCGAGTCGCGATCAAAATCATCAAATCAAGCTCGATCGTGTATTCGCTTCTTAACCATTATTGGTAAAAAAATGATCTTGAATCTTGAGATGTACTTTCACTGCTCGCCAAGTTCTGGGTCAAACATCCGGCAACGAGCACTCTTTTATACGCTCTACCTGAATGCTTATGGGGAGTGGTCCTCCCTGCAGGTAAGTATCTCATCACCGAGAGTACCAAAAGTAAAAGTTTCTCTTCCTGGTTCTCGTATTGATCGACGTTCAATTTTCAAACTTAATCTTAAAATCTTATCGAAAAAAACTTGATTCAAAAATCATGAAATCGGTATTCAAACGAGTATATAACTTTTTATATACTCATCACGATTTCTCATAGAATTGTACTATATCAAAGAATAAAAGAATAAATTAAATCAGAATAAAAGGAATTATATATGCATAAAGTATTTAATTAATTTAAAAAAAATCCAGATCATCATCAACGGACGACGTCCTCTCTTATATCTTCTATTATCACAGTTTCTCAAAGAACTCTAGTATTCTCTAAATTTTCTAAAATATAATTAGGTCAGGATAGAGCAGTCGCGCAAAGTATGATTAACTGTTAAAAGGCACACTTACCATGTTGCCTTAATTTCAGAAGATATGACCGCGACCCGAAGATTCTAGCTCTACTACAAAGCCAAAGTAGATTCACCTTCTCTTATATAGCCTTTACCCCTACCCGGACTGTGTATGTATATCTTGATGGGGCACATTTCACTCGTGGATCATAGCGTCTTTCGTGGCCCTCGTGAACTACTAGGAACTACAGGAAGAATTCAGAATACGAGTGAAGGATACCGTCATCCCTTTCAGGATTAGAAGTCGTACAACACGAATACATTTGTATGGAAGGAGAAAGGAAAATAAAGTCTAAGAAATATGTGAAATTGTGAATTTTTACAATTTTATCAAATATTTTCTTTTTAACTGTTGTATGTAACCATCGATGTTTTATTAATTAATAATTATTAATCGTAAACTCTTCGAATAGAAGAAAATATTTATAATTTTCGAAAGGGGAAATGCATCGATACAATTTCGAGAGATATCGAATTTCTAGTTTCCCTCGTATAATAAAACGATATGCAATTCTCACGATACCGGCCACGATAATTACCGGCCATTAATCCGTGGAAAACAAGCTACGATCGTTTGCCTGTGAGAACGTGTCGCGAAAAGTGAATAGAAAGAAGGAGAGATCGGAAGTTGTTCATTAAACGGATCTTTCCATCCGGATTGATCCATTTCGAACGCATTGTCGAACGAAAAAACGTCTTAGAATCGATATTCTTATAAATCGTTATATCAAAGTTGTGTAATTAATTATTTCCGTCGATCGATCCGTCCATTAGTCTGATAACGAAGTGATTTCGTTCCCGGCTCGTATTTTATTCGGCAGATTTTGCAAAGCACCACGATAAATATATATAAAACGCTGAGACATATAGACTTGTTTGACCCTGTTTCGCAAATATCGCGTGGATATGTAAATGAAGAGAGATGGACATTTATACGAGAATTTACGAATGAAAAATATAATTCGTTATATTTATAGCTACGCGAATAAACAAAACATGGATGGAAATATTATATACGGATGAATTTATGAATGAATGAAAAATATGGTGTTTTATTATTTTTCACGTAAAATCGTAAGTTAAGACGCAATTGCGAGGGCAGAGCGTTTACTTTCCTCGAACAATTGAAGGGACGGTAAATGTATTCACCAAGATTCTATTCAAGAAGGGATCGTAACGATCGTTGGAAAACTTAATGGTGGCCGAGGTTGACTCCATTGTTTCGTGCATCATCGCATCAGTAAGAGGATTTCAACGAGACATTTACCATGAAATATTAAATTTGAAATTTTATTATTCTTTCGCGAACAATGTTACATTAAATTGATAATTTTATCAATCATTAGATCAATTAAATGATGAATATATTGCACGAAACGAACAGTTAGATTTTACACGAATGTATCGATAATAAAAGATTGATCATCCACGACGTTAATGCGCACGAAATTAAGAAAGGAAGGCGAGACGAAACGCATCGACTCGCGCAACAAGAAAGGCTTGCTTTTCGCCGTTCGAAACAACGCTTTTGAAAAATTTGTAAGCAATTAACGAAGGGAAAGGAGATCTCGGAGTGGAGTCCATCAATCTCTTTGTCAATCCCATCCCACCTGTACCGAACTCGCCATTGAAACTCGCGCGTTTCCGCAAACCCTTTCCATCACACGCGAACCAGCAACCGGTGTCCCAAGCAACGAGAGAGAGAGAGAAGAAAAAAAAACACTTTCTATCCGCATTCTGGGTGTGGAAGCAAAGAGAATGATCTAATAAACGATGACCGGCTCGCTTGTAAAATTATCCTCAATTAAGTCAAGGAACTTTCTCGTGCAACTGATGATGTCTGCTCAGTTTGACGATTTTTAGCATCTCTGTTTTGTGAACAATGCTCTGTAAGACTTTGCTTAAATTTACACCTC